AAATTGTGTAGATCACCGGAAATTTTTCGGAAAATAAACTTGCCCCTTGATTTTTAGGACATGTCACACGACTAATAGTTTTTCATAGTTGTCGGAAATTAATTTTATTAATATTAATTGCCGAAATTATATTCGAAATTATTTGAACACTCTAACTCAATAGCCAAAATTCTGGGTAGTTTTTTTATGTCCATCATTATGAAAATATTGTAAATCCGAAATTGCCTGCCGAAATTGATTTTTTCAAAAACCATTTCGGCTAACGTCTTTAATGGTAACCCAATATTTTTTATAATATTGAATTAGTTTCGCCCGAGTTTAATTAATTCCGGCGATTTTGACCGCTAAGTAAGGTACCATCACTAAATAATTATATTATTAATTGTATAACAATAATGATAACATAATGACGAATAAAAAAAGTAATACAATTACAGCTGCACAATTCATTAATAACTAATGAATGCTATGGATTTAATCAAATTTTATATTCGAATCAGATCAAATTGAATTGAATCGAATGAAATTACAATTCAGATTCAAATTTCATTGATTGATTTAGATATTAACCTGCATCTATAGATCTAAATCCGCCATCCCATTGACAATAATCCACGCATAATATTAAGTGTAGGATCAATAATAACATCACAAACAACTACAACCTTCACTCAAGTCCGACTATGCCATCAACCACCCCTAAAAAAATTCACCACCAACTGAACCACCATCATCTGATTTACTACCATCAAGAATGCCAAGTCACAATACACCTTGATAATGTCCAATTCCAATTCTCCCTATAATTGACATCAGATTTGTTCTTTTTTTTTTTGAAAACTTTAAAGAACCTTATTATTGTAATTTTATGCAATTGGGAAGTGTACATGCGCGCACTGGATGGTTCCTTAAATTTCATTTCCGTATGGTCTTGGTATTATCATTATTGCAATTTATTTATTATTCCTTTTAAAAGGAATGTATTCAAACAATAATACATATTCATCGCAATTAATAATTTCAAAATTATTTACCTTGAGAACCAGTGAACCAAATTTAATGAAACACGGCTCATTAGAATAGTCTCATAAAGACGATTCGAATAATGGTGATTTAATGTCCATAGCATCAATAAATGACGAGTTATTGTAATATTATTGTAGACCAAAATAACTCAATGATCAGTGATTCGAATTACATCTCATTAGTATTAGACTCACCTCATTGAGAAAATTCGAATGATAGTTGTTTTATTCGATATTGACCAAGTTATGA